ATGCAAATTTATATATGACAACTGCTAAGAGTACCAATCTCTATTGCTTTAGTTTCTTGGGCACATACAATTAAATTTTTGTATGTGAGGGCACAGTAGGTGTAATCAAACACACCAAAGCTATAAATTATGGAGGATGAGGGCAATTCATTGATGTTGCCACCAAGTACCGAAGAAAGAACAGTAAAAAATGTTGAGTGAATGAAGTTGTACAACCCTAAGGACTTGTTTGGTACACCTAAGGCCTGGAAGGTACACCTTCCAAACATGGGCCCCGCATTAGTAATCCATGCTTAGAGCACCTCCACCGCAAGGGGGGAGGGCAGGCAAAGGAGACCCCAGGCCCAAAAAAACTCCTCCAGCGCGCAAGGTCCAACCCGGGCAAGGGGTGGGACCCACCAATTCGGGCAAGCCCACGGGCAAGAATTGCATGGGCTCTAGCCCGAAGGCTGCTGACGTCACGGTTGATGCCAGCTCTGACAGAAACCAAAGGGAATAAGCCATGTGGCTCTTCCCGGACGCTCCGATGATGAATTTCTCAGAAATCCAACGGGTGCGATTTTTTTGCCTTAAAAAAATCCAAAAAAAATACCCAATATTTTTGAAATATTTTTATAATAGATAGTGACACGTGGCAACCGAAAAGCTTATCAAAATTAATGGTTTAAGTATAAAGAATAGAAAATAAATTAAAGTGAATAGTAATTGCCCTTAGTCTTGCCTTTTGGGGTGGAAACAAAAAAGGCAAAGGCTGACACTATTCATGTGAATAGTGACAAATCTTGCCTTGCCCTTGCCCTTTGAGGTGGAGGTGCTCTTAGAACTGGATTGGATTATCCCGTGCGTTTTCAGACAAATAAAATAAAATAAAAAACAATTTCGTGCTTTCTGTGCTCATACTCAGCCACACAATTCAAGTCCATGTAATCACCATCATCCCCATTCCGATTCAACACACTGGCCTCACCATTAACCTCATCATCACCATTCACTTCTTGAGATCAAAATTAAGAATGCACATCCTCGTGTTCCCCACGTCCGTCAAATCAGCCGAGTTCATGATCGACAACAACTCCAGAACACAACACAGTGCCATCGAGCTCAAACCTAATCGCCGATCAAATCCCATGATCTGAGTCAGTGCAAGGGCTCGTGCTAGTGGTAACAATGCCTCGGCGAATCTGAAATCGCTATGGAAGAACCAAAATAGAGAGAGAGAGAGAGAGAGAGAGAGAGAGAGAGAGAGAGAGAGAGGAAAGGATGGTGTTGACAGTTTTTAGGGAACTCTCGCTTCCCTTGCAGAGATCCAGTGGCTTTGTTATTGATGGCTTTGGGCGATTGTTTATTTTTTTATTCAAGTCCCAGTCCCAGTCCAGTATTATACGAAACGCAAGACTTAAACTTAGTCCAGGCCAAGTCAATTCAGGACAATATTATACCAAACGCAGGACTTAAACATAGTTCATGCCAAAATAGTCATGTGTAACAAACGAGCCCTAAGGCCTTCTCCAATCTATGAGGGGCTAAACCCAAATTTTCCCCCTCCAAAAAGTAACTATTTGAGTTTTTCCCGGACTCAAATCGTTTTTTCTCCCAACCCTCCGAACTCAAATTTTAAATCCGCAACTTTATTAAATTGTTTAAGAATGGTTTAAGTCTAATTTTTTATTTTTTTTTTATGGAAAACTTTTCTTCATTTAATCTTTTTAAATAATGTCATAATTTAATTTTTTTTAACAATTTGACCTAAAAAAATTGAAATTCCATAAATTTAATTTTATTCCAAAAGTAAACACACAACATAAAATTAAAAAAAACAGACAAGATAATTGAAACACAAAAGGAGGATTGAAACAATTGTCGACCTCATTCACCATCTCCAAAGCTCCTCCAAAGGTGATTGATCAAATCATGTCGAAGACTCTGAGGCACATGTGGAGATCGAACTCTATTATGACGAATCATGTAATCAGAGAAAGTCTACCTATCTTGGGGGTGCTCATATGTAATGCTTGGCTCCAGCTCATATTGTCTTGCTCTGGCCCTCCTAGATCGTTGTGGACACATATCCTCATCATCAGATTCCTCTTCAACATATTCGTACTCATCGTCCACAATCATGTTGTGCAAAATTATACACGTCATCATGATTGAGTGGAGGTTATCCTTGCACCACATACATGCAAGGGCTCGAACAATAGCCCATCAAGCCTGTAGTATTCCAAATGCTCTTTCAACATCTTTCCTGTACGCTTCTTGCATTTGTGCAAAAAGCCTCTTCTTCAAGTTATCAGGAGAAGAGATGGTCTTCACCAAAGTAGCCCAACGGGGGTAGATCCCATCTACCAAATAGTAGCCCAAATGGTATTGATTTCCATTGACAATATATTCAACATGAGGAGCCACTCCATGTACCACATCATTGAACAATGAAGAACGAGCTAAAATGTTGATATTGTTGGATCCAGCAGCTCCAAAAAAGGCAGGTCATATCCATGTGTCGTACGAGGCCACGGCCTCTAGCACAACAATGGGTTTTTTTTTGTGACCAGTAAACTGGCCTGCCCAAGAAGATGGGCATTTCTTCCATTCTCAGTGCATGCAGTCAAGACTTCCTAACATCCTTGGGAAGCCTCAACTGCTTGCCTTGTGCAATAGCTTGTAAGCTTGTAAAGGTCAGCTAGATTTGGAGACCTGAGGTACCATTGGCCATACACGGCTTCAACAGCACAACAAAACTTACAAAGTGACTCAAGAGCTGTGCTTTCACCCAATCTACAATACTCGTTGGTCGCGTCAGCTGAGCATTCCCATGAAAGCATACGAAAGACAGCAGTTAACTTTTGCTCACGGGATAGCCCTTGTTAGCTTGGGCCCGTCTTTTTTCTGGTGAAAGTATGGCTCGTGGTTGACAACATCATTCAAGATGAGTTAAAACAACTCTTTCCACATTTGGAACCGCCTATGAAAGTCCGTAGTATTAAAATTTGGCCTTTCAACGAAGTAGTCGGGCATGAGATTGCGACGGCGATCTTCCCTCTCACAGTTCTACTCACGACCGACTACTGACCCACCATGTTTGGTGGCTTCATTCCCCAATGAAGTATGGTGGACAATGGCTTGTATCACTCTCTAATGATGTTCTTCATCATCTGAATCATCATCAAACATAAAGGAAAAGATCGCTTTGCCACGATTATCCATTGAAAGCTTCAAATGATATGAAAAGTATGAGAATGAAGAAGATGATGTGCTTGAAATTACATCAAAAGTATGAGAATGAAAGGAGATTGATGAAATTGACAAAGGAAAAATAAATTGAGAAATAGAAAAAATGTTTTTTGTAGATTAATTGAGAAATGGATGAGTATTTATAGAGTTTGGAGTGAGTTTTGGGGTTGGATCTAATTTGGGTTAATTTAAAATATTATTTTGACCGTTGGATTTAAATTTCAGCCGTTGGATCTTTTTTTTATGTTAAAATAGCTTATATTTAATCTAGATCATTGATTTAAAGTTACTATTAGATTATTTTTTTTTTTTTATAAAGGAAATTTGAATTGCAACGGTCACTTTAATCTGGAATAAGGCCAGCAGCGTGGGCCCAGTCTTTTTTTAAAGTTACTATTAGATTTTTATTTTATTTTTAAAAAAGACATTTGAATTGCAACGGTCACTTCACTAGGAGCAAACACGTGTCATGGGCCAGCAGACAAAGCCGCCAGCGCTGGCCCTACTGTCTTTTCTTATGCACATGGGCTGTTCCATCTATTGGTGGGCTCCACTGAATAGTTTTGGGTCCAGAAAATACTTGGACCGGTATTTGGGTCCAAGTTTGAGTTTTCCCAAATTTTGGCCCCTCCATTTTCTTGGATTGTGAGAGATTTTGGGCAGTAATTTGGGATATTTTGGGTTTAGCCTCTTAGGTTGGATATGGCCTAAAAGCTAAGGTGAAGTTTGAAGATGAGAAAAATGACGTATCTATGTATCATCATTTTCTTTATATCACACGTGTGGGTTTGATACATGACGGATCTTTATCTTTGTTATAATATAGGCTTTTCACATGTAAACCTATAAACATGGCCCAAGAAATGGTTTTTATTAAAACTCTATATTGTAAAATAGTACTATTATTATTATTATTATTATTGTGTTGTGTATCATCATATTAATTTCCTTCATGGCTAGTCGTCATTAGTTCTAGGATGGAGTAACTCTCGAAAATATCAACATCAGATTATTCACAATTTCCATTGTTGTTGTGCCTCTAGGCATCATACTTGATGATTTTATTCCAGTAGAAAGTTGTATTTCTCCTACTTAAGATTACCTAAAGCACAATGTGGTATCCACTCGAAACGACATATTATGTGTCCAAATTGGACGCTATACTCACGATATATTTTTCTTAGACATATTATGCATCTATCAAACTAATAGTCAAGAAGAGAAGTGGGGCTTAGCAAACGCAAAAGGAATACAAAAACAAAAATAAAATGCTGCCAGAAAACTGAGCATATTAATTTGTCGGATATGAGTTTTGTGGTGGATAATCATCAACAAACTAGAGGTACCATGCTGCTTGTATTGTAATTGCTCTATTATACTCACCCACAAATAGAACATAAATTTAAAACAAAAAAATCCATTTAAATCAAAAGGTTTTGAGCAAAATTACCAACAAATTAGAAAACCCATACGTTTGAATCAGAAAAAGCTCGCATCATTATGCACCATTTCCAATCAATAACAAGAAAATACCTCCAAACTATTGCTTTTAAAAAAAAAACAAAAACAAAAACTGCAACTTGGTGAGCACTTGTTTTGTTTTGGTCAGTAAGGACCAGATGATTCAACAATGGTGAGCATCCATTTTATGGGGTTTCATTAGCAAACGCCATGTCTTCAGTTTGATTAGTAATTAAACTTTATAAGTTAAATCCTTTTGTGAAGGTGACTGATGCACAACAGCAAATTGAAAGGATTAAGAAAAAGCATATAGAATCCGTAATCTGTTTGATAATCCATAAGTAACTTTAGTACAGATATTACTCTGTTACAGTTCAACCTAACAGATTGCCACCAATTATGAAGTCTCTAAGACTTTGCACATCTCTTTTTCATCATGCAAGATTTACTGATTTTGATCATGAATTGGGTATCAGTCACCTTCACGAAATTCTTCTGAAACTACTACTTATCTGGTGGCATCGAAAGAAACAGCAAATATCTAACCCCTCAACCATGTGTTTCTGTATGATGAATTGTCACGCAGTGAAGCATCATGTGGCTTGTATTCCATGAGATAGCTGTGCGGAAGCTTCAAGTTCCTCTTGATTGCATCTCTTAAAGCCATTACAGCCTGGTGAAGAAAAGCAAGGTCAAGATATTACACTATTCAAGTTCCTCTTGATTGCATCTCTTAAAGCCATTACAGCCTGGTGAAGAAAAGCAAGGTCAAGATATTACACTATACACGCACGAGAGAGAGAGAGAGCAATTAGTCATAAATTACCAACCTGATGATCAGAAGCATTGCGATTCCAGACACTCAATATGTCCTCATTGAATCTAATGCTTAGTACCGCACCACATATGTTCTCTCCATAATCAAGTTGGTCACCCACCAAGGCAAGGACCTGCAAACATAAGCAAGAGTAAGAAATACTAAATTCAGACTCAAGCTCTAACTTTGGCAGACAGTCCTGGTAGACATATAGACTAGTTGGTAGCCACAGCTCTCCTCTAAAGCGGAGATCCTATGTTCAAATACTCCCAGTACCCACCGCAAATATCTCAACTAACTTATCAAAATACATTAAGAGAAAGCCACATTAAATTAGTAGTGAAACCCCATAATAGATGCACACCAATATAAATGCATGTGTATCAATATGTATTGTGTAACGCATGTCCAGGCCTATGCATAAACCCATGTATGCGTATCAATATATTTGAATGGCATCCAAGGCGAGAGAAGGGTTGCTTTAAGAAGATGCCAAAATGCGCTCGTTTAGGGTTTAACTCTAAGGTCTTGGCCCAAAAGCTAAAACCAAAACCTCAAATGGTTTTTACACCCTAAAGGCATCAGGCTGTCATACAAGTGCAAAACGCGTTCACAAGGCCTGGGATCCTGCAGAACAGGGTCTCCACATAAAGCTGCCAGAACTGATCTAACAATTGAAAGCATCATGCAGATTAGAGAATGATTTTCATTACTCAACAAAATCAAGGAGACACAGTACCAATGTAAAGAGAAAACTATGTAATATTTTGAGCTACCTAACCATAGGTTATTAGCAAAATTAAAACCAAAACCAACTTCATTACAGAAAACAGAAAAGCTGTCCAATTTCAGATTTGTGATAATTGAACTTCGTTGGAGAGAGAGAGCAGCAGCAGCAGCAGCAGCAAAAAATAATCTCTGTAGATCAGAAGTTGACTAACCATACCTAGGTGAAGGTAACGCTCAAAATTTCAGATTTTTTAGGGTGCTAACAACTATACAGGGGAGGATTGTAAAATCTTCCCTGTATCACTGACATCTTGGCAATATGCCACCAAGAAATAGGCAAGTGATGTATAGACAAAAAAAATTTCCCAGCATCTTATCATAAGAGGACAGTAGTTTTATGAATATCCACCAAAACTTTGCACCTATGTGATTTACAAACCAAGAGCTCCTTGGTTTGGACCCAAGTGAGCTTCTTGATCCTATTGGGCTCAACATAAGTTAAGACCACAGGTGGATAGTAAAACAACTCACTAAGCTTCTCAAACTTCTGGGTTTTACTCTTTTTGGCTTGAGTCACACACAGCCAGTCACTTTCACGCATGCACATCACTCCATGTCTTTCAAGGGGAGGGGGTCATTGATTAGGTTGATTTCTTTGAGCGAGAATTTTGAAATTCATCTCAGATGGTAGACCTCAGCCCTCCCCCTGCCTATGATTCGTTTCTTGAACTTTATTTTTCTTTTATTTGACAGGGCATTTGTTATTCTTTTTCTTTAAATCTTTAAAATATGCTCAGCTAGTGAAAAGTATTAAGGTTGTGAGAATCGATGGGTCACCTGTTCTTAAAAATTGGAAATCTCCTTTATGCAGATTGCACAAATCAAGCTGCTTTATGCATCACGATTCTTGTCATCAGAGGAAGAATAATTCTTTAATTCTCTCTCCAACCCAATGGTAGCCAGCATCCTTTGTCTAAGTGTAGATTTTCTTATCATTTAAACTTTCCTTATACCATCAAGGTTTTTAAAAAGAAGAAAATATAATATTTTCATACACTAATATTCAATTTTCATGGTTATATGTGTCAGCAGTGAGCTCTAATATCACACTGCATGTCATCTGTATATGGATATACAAAGCCTACATGTTGAATTGATGCATTCATTATTCATTTACCACCTCCAAATTTTCATTCAAAATATCTATATTTTTAAGAAAAATGTTATATTTTCACCAATATTTCAAGAATTCCGGACTACTGTATTCTTTTTTTCTTATAAGAAACCACAATTTTATTAAAAACCCATGATGTAGAAATTGGTGAACAAGAAATCCACCAAATATATAACAATCGGGATCTTAAACCTAAGACACCTCTCTACCACATTTCACTTGAAAAACTATCTCTATGATACTACTGCTTTCCAATCCAAATAGCGTAAATACATGGTATACTACCTAAACTCTGAAGACGTAGATGCCCAAAACCAAATACGATCCGATAACTGATCTATATCATCACCCTTAACATTATAAAAAACTCTCCTATTCCTTTCCACCCACACTACCCAAAAATCTGCCAACATAGCACATCTTCCCAGAACTTCTACATGTTTATTTCCTCTGACAAAATTAAACCTCTCTCCAAACAAAGCACTACATGAGGCATAAATCCAATGTAGAAAATTAAACTATATTGCCACCATAAATCTTTATATATCAGAGTTTTCCAAAATTTCCCCTTTTATAAAAATTCCACTTCATGTCAAATATATATATATGTAGGCTATTACGACTATATCCCTCACATCTTTAGAAATTTCGTATACATCAAAGTATCAATACAAACAAATCCCAGTAGCACCCGGAACTAAGGGCAGAATACTACAATTTGTCAATAATCATCATCACTGTTTATTGCAGGCATAACTTAATCGAGAGAGACAACAGTTTAAGAAAATACTAATGTTTAGAAAATGTGCAAATTTCCTATTGAAAGCCACTAAGCTTCAGTAGGATAATTGCTTCAAAGCAAAGCATTGGTAAAATGAAATAGTACTATCAACTGATAGTATGAAAGTAGCCTGGAAACTGCGCAATAACAACAAAGAAATTTCAGTTTTTCTCCTTACCAGGTCCTCCCAAAAACGGCCCGACACAGCCTTTTTGAATCGTATTATCCATTTACCACCATGGCAATTAGCAGAGTCCTGAAAAACCACAAATTCCACAGAAGTTGGCATTCTGTTGTCCAAAAATATAAATATCTTTGAAACAATTCTAATATAACTACATTCGGTAGGGAGGAGTTAACGGAAAACAAGAGAAGCAGCCAGTGATAAGAAAGAGCAAATTGAAAGTTAGGCTTCAGATATGTACCTCCCAGAGAGGGCGAATTCCATCCTTGAAAAGATGCAAGTCTGTTGGGCTAGGCAAAGTGGCAGGACGGGCTAGGTGGCAATAGCACACCCAAAAGCCTTCAACCTAAATCCAAGAAGCAAAAACTTAATAAAACTGCAAGTACTAAACTCAATCACATTTTCTCTTTCTGACATTAAAATAGATTTTACCGTAGTGAAGTCAACAATTTTCTTTATATTGTCCTCATACGGTGTCTGACTTCGCATTCCTAGTGTTCGACGAGTGTACCAAAACACGAATTTGTGCTAATCATAGAAACATAAAAGATGAGTGCTACAGGACCATAAAAATTATCAATTGGATAAAAGACAACCTATGGACTTAAACAAAGAAAGAGAGCATTTCCAACAGAGAATGGAAGAATACAAAATTGATAAGCGAGATACTGAAAGTAGAATGAAAGAAACCGGTGTTCACCGCATTATACAATGAATGAGAATCAAACGACGAAATCAAAATTAATTGACTCCTAGTTCTAGCCCTAGATACGTAATTCAACAGAAAACCAACTGACTCAAGCAATAATCATTTGAGCGCAAACTAACATATTAAAAATTTATCAAAATAAAATCAGCTCTACAAGCATGAATTCTCCTATGAAATACCACAATTATGGGTAGATGAACAAATCTAGGTCAATCAATTATATAATATAAACAGAGAGAAGAGAGAAAACCTTGAGGGGATGGAGGCCAGCTTTGAGGTCGCGAGCTTGACGTTCACGAAATTCATCGGATTCCTTGTTATTGTAATCATGAGAATCTACAAGTGCTTGTGCATAACTAGTATTGTTGTTCTTCTCACTGTTGTTGTTGTTGTTGTTCTGCTGGTCAGACTCCTTTTCGGGTACCAACTCCATCCTCCCACAAAAAGCCCTAATTTACTGTCCTCCCTCTTTTTCTCTCTCTCTCTCGCTCTCTGCAACGCAACACGACCAGCCACCCAAAAAAGGAAAGCAAATGAAACGAATAACGAAGGAAGAGAAACGGGGCTTTACGAGATGATCGTGGGCTCAATTTCAGTTAGCCCGGAATTCGATTTCGGGTTGGACTCAATCTAAGACAACCGGTTTTGACCCAAGTGGTTAAAAAAATAATAATCAATATTTCCGGCTTTTTAATAATTTTATCAATTATTGTAAGGGGCTTAGCTCGTAGCTCAATTGGTTGCAAAGTACTCTGGCACACCCGACCTGAGGTCTTAGATTTAATTTCCCACTCCCCAAATAGCGCTTGTATTAAAAAAAATTATCAATTATTCAACTCACTTGATAATCAAAAGATAATACTTCTAGTCACAAGCACGATAAAAATTCAAACAAAAGTTCAATTATTTTGTGAAAAAGTACTTTAAAATGCTTCGTGAAAAGATGCTTCTCCACAAAACACTAAAAAGTACTTTTAAAAATTTAATTCACAATTAGGCCCTGTTTGGGATTGCTTTTTTTCGTCAAAAACCTGCCTCACTTTAAAGTTAAGCAGTTTAAGGTGTTTGGTAAAAATAAAATATCCCGATTATTTTAAAAGCAATGGCCTTTTGACAGCAGCTTTTAAAAGCATGCTCTGGGTTGCTTTTCAAAGCTGCTTTCAAAAGAAGCTGAGATGAACATTTAATGAATTTTTTTAATTCCCAAAATACCATCATTCATTTTTAAAAATAACACCACCTCCACTTCCACATCCAACTCCACCAATTGCACCACCACCACCACCACCACCACATCCACCACCACCACCACCACAACCACCACCTTCTCCACCACCACCACCACCACCA